GCACCTCGCGGGCGTTCCCCGCTCAGGGTCCCGTCGCCCTCGTCGGGACTCGACGATGACGATGACGATGACGATGATGATGATGATGATGATGATGATGATGATGATGATGATGATGATGATGATGATGATGATGATGGTGGTGGTCGTGGTGGTGGTGATGATGATGATGGTGGTGGTGGTGGTGGTGGTGATGATGATGATGATGATGATGATGATGATGATGCTGCTGATGATGATGATGATGATGCTGATGCTGCTGCTGCTGATGATGATGATGCTGCTGCTGATGATGCTGCTGCTGATGATGATGATGGTGATGATGATGATGATGATGATGATGATGATGATGATGATGATGATGATGATGATGATGATGATGATGATGACGATGGTGGTGGTGGTGGTGGTGATCAATGACACGGTGCTGGTGACAGTGGTGATACTGGTGCTCATCATGATGAGTTATCATGGCATGGCCAGGGTGCTGCTCACGATCACGATGATAACGAAGGCGCTGCCGATGATGACGATGAGGAGCCTTTGCCGCGGACGAGCTCGGACACGAGGGCTGTGGCGGTCCTCGCGCCAAGCGGGTCGGGGCCCCGCGCGCCGTGCGCGCGCGGCAGGGCGCCGCCAGGGTGCCGTCGGCGTTCCCTCTTTCAGCCGCGGCCGTGCTCTCCTCCATGCCGTGGGGTCTACGACAATGGGGTCGCCGTGCACCGCCTCAAGGCCCACGTCGCCGAAGGGCCTGGGGCTGCCTTCGGCGCCATGCATGCAGCGGCGCAGCCAGCTCGGGGCCCGGGCCACGCCGGGGCAGACCGACCCGCGATCGCGCCAGGCCTTGCCGCAGGGCAGGCCCTCGGCACAGCCTTGCGAGCCGGACCGCCGCCTGGTTTGCCGAGGGCCCCGCGGTGCACGCAGCAGAGTGCGGGCCCCGCCCGGCAGAGAGCATGGCCGAAGCCGGCGTGGCAGGCCCGCTTCGGAAGGACCGTCTCGCTGAGCGCGGTCATCAGGCAGCCCACGCACCGCAGCCTCGCCGCCACCTCGATGGGGTGGTGCTGCCCTGCCCCGTCGGCGAAGGCGCGTCGGAGGTGAGCCGCGGCGCCGCGCACGTGGCGGCATGCAGCGTTCCTGGGTCGACGTGGGCACCTCGCCGCTCTTGCCTCGGGCCGCCCCGGCCGCGCGAGGTGCCTGCCGAGGTGCCGCGAGAGGTCCCCGCTGTGGCGCGCGCTCTCGGCTTCCGCCGCGCTGTGGGGATGCCGCTTTGCTCGGGGGCGGCCAAGAGGGGGGTGATGACTAGGGGGTGTTGATCTCATGGTGTGGGCCATGATATCCGTAAGGGCTTCGCCCCCTGGCGCCGGCCCCCTCTCTATCATAATGGGATACATCAGAGCTATATTGGGATGTTCGGGCGCCGTGGTGACATTCGGGAACGTCATGCTAGGGCGGCTGGCGATGAGCAAAACAGATTGACATGTTGAAATTGTTGTTGAACGCTTTGTTGCCTTCTTGGCATTTTCCTCGAGTTGTTCACTGGAAGCGCTCTGGGAACGGCTGGGGATTGCTTCAGGCAATCTCTGGGAAGGTTATTGCTTTTTTCTGCTCTGGAGAAGGAGTGGCGCCTTTGGGCAGCTTCCGCGAGGTGGATTCGTAGCGTGGGGGGTGCGCGCGAATTTGGTGTAATTTGCAGGGGATCGTGGCCTCGGGGACGCGAATGTGGGGTAATTTGCAAGGGATCGTGGCCTGGGGGGCGCGACAGCGGCGTAATTTACGAGGGGTCGTGGCCTCGGGGGCGCGACAGCGGCGTAAATTACGAGGGGTCGTGGCCTCGGGGGCGCGAATGTGGTGTAATTCGCGCGGGATCGTGGCCTCGGGGGCGCAAATGTGGCGTAACTTACGAGGGATCGTGGCCTGGGGGGGTGAATGTGGAACCCACCGCCGAATTTTCCAGAAACGGGGGGGGGGCAAAAGAATACCAGCGGAGCACATGTACCAATACAGAAAACTGCCGTTTTTTCTTTTTTGGAGAGGGGGAGCGTTTTTTTTTTCAGCAGCCTCGGCAAGGCGGATTCGTGGCCTCGGGGGTGCGCCCGCTGCGTAATTTACAAGGGATCGTAGCGTCAGGGGCGCGAATTTGTAGTAATTTACAAGGAATCGTGGCCTCGGGGGCGCGAAAACGATGCAAATTACATGGGATCGTGGTTTCGGGGGCGCGAATGTGGCGTAACTTTCAAGGGATCGTGGCCTCGAGGGCGCGAATGTAGAGTAATTTGCTGGGGATCGTGGCCGCGGAGAAGCAAATGTGGTGTAAATTACTAGGGATCGTGGCCTCGGAGACGCGAACGTGGCGTAATTTACGAGGGATCGTGGCCTCGGGGGCGTGAATGTGGTGTAATTTGGAAGGGGTTATGGCGTGGTGGGCACGAAGCTCATTCCCTACCTAGGCTCTGCCTAGAAGGGTTTTTATTCTCTGGGCTTAAAGGGCCGGGCAGTGGAAACCGCCCCGGGCGGTTCCCCCGGTATCCGCCCCGCGGTTCCCCCAGTTACGTCCCCTTAGCTTAGAGTTGCTTATCTCATCTTAGCTTAGCTTATTTCATCTTAGCTTAGCTTAGCTTCATCTTAGCTCAGGTTTATCTTAGCTTAGCTTACCTTCATTTTAGCTTCGCTGAGCTTCAGCATAGCAGAGCACAGCATATCATAGCATAGCGTAGCATAGCATAGCGCAGCACATCATATTATAGCATAGCCCAGCATAGCATATCATCGCGCAACATAGCATAGCATATCATAGTATAGCGCAGCATAGCACAGCACAGCATAGCACAGCGCAGCATAGCGTAGCCTAACATAGCAGAGCATAGTATAGCATAGCGCAGCATAGCATAGCATAGCATATCATAGCATAACTTAGTTTAGCATAGCATAGCGCAGCATATCATAGCATAGCATACCATAGCATAGCGCAGCACAGCACAGCACAGCATAGCACAGCGCAGCATAGCATAGCATAGCATAGCAGAGCATACCTTGCATAACGCAGCATAGCATAGCATAGCATATCATAGCTTAGCTTAACATAGCACAGCGCAGCATAGCACAGCATAGCATATCATAGCGTAGCATAGCATAGCATAGCATAGCGCAGCATAGCATAGCATAGCATAGCCTTAGGACAGTATAGCGCAGCATATCATAGCATAGCATAGCGCAGCATAGCATAGCATAGCATATAGCAGCATATCATAGCATATCATAGCATAGCGCAGCATACCATATCATATCATAGCCTAGCATAGCATAGCATAGCGCAGCATAGCATAGCACAGCATAGCATAGCGCAGCATAGCATAGCATAGCATAGCGCATCATAGCATAGCATAGCATCGCCCAGCATCCCAGAGCGCAGCCTAGCACAGCATCGCACAACATCGCAAATCATAGCGCAGCATTACGCAGCATCGCGCATCATAGCATAGCATAGCATAGCATAGCATAACATAGCATAGCATAGCAAAGCAGCAGCAAAGGCAACGGCAACAGCAAAGGCAAGAGCAATAACAAAGACAATGCAACTCAACAGCAAACCCAATGCGACAGTGTAGATGTATATTTAGATGTAGGTGTAGGTGTAGATGTGGATGTAGGTGTATATGTAGATGTAGATGTACATGTAGGTGTATATGTAGGTGTATATGTAGATGTAGATGTGAGTGTAGTTGTAGATGTAGATGTAGATGTAGATGTAGATGCATGTGTACATGCAGATGTAGCTGTATGGGTAGATGTGGATGTAGGTCTAGATGTAGATGTAGGTATTAAGCTGTACTACTACTACTACTACTACTACTACTACTACTACTACTACTACTACTACTACTACTACTACTACTACTACTACTACTACTACTACTACTACTACTGCCACTACCACTACCACTACTACTACTACTACTACTACTACTACTACTACTACTACTACTACTACTACTACTACTACTACTACTACTACTACTACTACTACTACTACTACTACTACTACTATTAATACTACTACTAATACTACTACTACTACTACTACTACTACTACTACTACTACTACTACTACTACTACTACTACTACTACTACTACTACTACTACTACTACTACTACTACTACTACTACCACTACTACTACTACTACTCTAACTACTACTACTACTACTACACTACTACTATACTACTACTACTACTACTACTTCTACTACTACTACTACTACTACTACTACTACTACTACTACTACTACTACTACTACTCCCTTAAAAAAACGCAAACTACTACTACTACTACTACTACTACTACTACTACTACTACTACTACTACTACTACTATACTACTACTACCTACTACTACGACTACTATACTACTACTACTAACTACTACTACTATCTACCACCACCACCACCACCACCACCACCACCACCACGACGACGACGACGACTACTACTACTAGTACTATTACTACGACTACTACTACGACTACTACTACTACTACTACTCCTACTACTACTACTACTACTACTACTACTACTACTACTACTACTACTACTACTACTGCTACCGCTACTGCTACAACTGCGACGATGAGGAGAATGAGGAGGACGGCGTTCACCGTTACTACTAATATTGCTCTCCTCGGGGCTCCAACTCCTAGGTAGGGTCGCTCGAGTGGTCTCGAGCGCGCCAAAGATGTGCCTCGCCAGGCAGCTTCGTCTGATGGCGCACCATGCGGCCCCTCGGCTCGCGTTGGGGGCTCGCCCCAGTGGGTCGTCGGCTCCGTCTCCCAGCGCCTGGCTTTTGCTCTTTCGGGGCCGCGTCGTCCACCGCTAGAGGTTCTTTCTTTTCGCGAACTCATTGTCGTGCCCGTTCGAATCCCTCAAAATTGCTTGCTAGCAAGTCCCCCCCAGGATTCTGGGTCGGGCATTCGCATCGTACTTTGGAAGCCTAGGCAGTTCATTGC